TTACTTTATGTTGGAATGTATGGAAAGACTAGACAGGCAGTTGGATCTGTCATATCTTTAATGGCCAGATCCAAAATGAGTTCTTGGGATTCACGTTTGGTTCTGTATAACTCGATTATTGTCAACTCTTTCACTAGTTCTTTACCAGTCTGGGCACTGCGCTATACGGACTTGTTGGAAAAGCTGCCAGTCAGTTTTTTTAAAATACTTTTATTACTGCCCCTTAACACACCTGGTTATATTGTTAGACTTGAATTAGGCATTAGTGGTCTGTCTTTATTGGTTTTTAAATCATGTCTGAACTGGTTACTCAAACTTTTGGCAATGGAAACCAATCGTTATGCGCATATGTGTTTCGTCAGGCAACTACAACTTCTCAATGACGGCGCTCGGTACAACTGGGCTCATCAAGTCAGACAGATGCTAGACAGTATAGATTNAAAAACATTGGCATAAGTCCTACTAAGGACTAAAGAAAATAGAGCTTTGGAAAAGCTGCGGAAAATTTTTCGTTTTGGTCAACGTTTTTCTCGTGAATAAAATAAAACTTATTGCAAAGAAAAAAATGAAAGTATTAATTTTTTTAAAGGGCATAAGTCCCTGGTGAGGACTATATGCTAAAAAATTTTTGAAAAGTTGTAGGAAAATTTTTACGTCTTTCTCGCTTATACCATTTTGCATGCACGTAGGAAACTACATTATAAAGTCATATAAATGTAGGCATAAGTCCACATTGGATTTTCATGTTGTAAATTAATTTGAATTTCAGGTCGACAAAGTAAAAAAATAATAGAAAATTGCTACAATTTTCTCGTTTATGCCGTTTCGTACACGAGTAGAAAATATTATTAAAAACCATTTTCAAGAGTGGCATGAATGCCACAAGGTACCGTCGTATGTAAAAATCTTTAAAAAAGATTATTTCATCGCCTGCGCAATTTTCGAAATACTTATACTTACTTGCATTTAGCGTATTTTTAATTTTTATATATTAAATAAAAAAAAATAAAAAATAAAATATTAAAAACGATTTTTAATTATTCTTTGAGTCATGATCAGAAAAAGAAAAATTATATAAATTGCCACAAATTTCTCGTTGCGTATTCGTAAATGAGTAGAGTATTTTATCACAATAGACCATACGTATTTATGAACAATATATTTAAATTTTAAAAATTAAAAATATTATATAATTTGAATTAACCGCTACAGTGCAAGGATGATCTACTTGAATTGAGCCGACTAAGGTAGANGAGATTTTTTGAGACTTCGTTCTTTTGTTCTAAATGAGTGAACTGTTCTTAATTTAATATGTTTGCAGTTGGCATAATGTATTCATGCTTAAATATTGTTCCTGGCGATTTGTTTTTTTATGTATGTAAGCCGTTCTGTTTTTTTTTCTCTTTTATTTTTTGTTACATATACATAGTGCAGAACCTCTTCCTACAAAAATTGTAATATTTTTTAGAAGGAATAAACTTTTATTATTATTTATTATTTTATTAATACTTATTACTTTATGTTTAGTAATATTTATTGTAAACGTTTTCATTTATACATAAGTATGTATACAGGCTGTTACAAATTCGCTTCTCACTACAGGGATCTCGGAAACGCTAAGAGATACGAAGTCGTTTAAATGGGGGCAAAGTTGCGTAGTCAGGGGATCAACATAATGCCTCTAAAAAATCAAGGCTAACATGATTAGTTTCCGAAATATTTGAAAAAAAACCAAAATTTTAGAAATCCGTTTTTGTTTAATTTCAGCCTTGTTTGAGGCGATATTGAAAAGAGAAGAACACTTTCTCATGATAACTTTTTGTCCTCTATCGAATGGCATAATCAATTTTTATATGTAACTTTTCGTCTCTCCAGGACCATCATCAACTTAATTTTTTTTAATGCGACCCTGGAAATTTTATTACATTTTTTGCAAACATTCATGACCCCCAATACTATACTGCCTCAGACCAAACCAGATTCAGACGTTTTGTCTCGAAATGTTCATCTTCAATGTATTTGTTCCCAATTTATCTAATTTTCTTTTTAGATTTCTTGAATTACCGTACTCTAAATGTCGTTAGACCCTATGAAATCCACCTAGTTATTTAAACTATTACCATCACATGTTACAATAAAACATTATTAGAGTTTTAATCACGTGCTCGTAGTTATTTCTAGGTTTCTCGAATGCTCAAAATTCAAACAAATTTCGATCTACTTAATTTTTTTCAGGATATTCATACAAATACATCTGACAGTTGCGGTTACAGGCATAATAAATTTCGATCATATTATGCTTATTTTAATTTTCAACATTTGCCAACACGGAAACGTTTTAACGGAACTGTAATTTTTTAAAGTATAATATCTATTTGCAGTTTTGGTTGTTCATATGTATTTTTAATAATAAATTTGTCATAATGAAATTAAAATAGTAGTAGTGTTTTAATTTTGACGCAACAACTTATTGATTTATGTATGACCAGGTTATGGAAATTAAAACTTTAATAATGTTTATTGTAACGTGTGATGGTAATAGATTAAATAACTAGGTGGATTTCACAGGGTCTAACGACACTTAGAGTGTACGATAATTCAAGAAACATAGAAATCTAAAAAAGATTAGATACATTTGGATTACGAATACATTGAAGATGAATTTTTAGAGACAAAACGTCTGAATCTGGTTCGAGTTGATGCAGTACATGACCCCCAATCATGAAGGTTTGCAAAAAATGTAATAAAATTTCCAGGGTCGTATTTAAAAAAATGAAGTTGGTGATGGCCCTGGAGAGACGAAACGTTACATATAAAAATTGATTTTGCCATTCGATAGAGGGCAAAAAGTTGTCATGAGAAAGTGTTCCTCTTTTTTCAATATCATCTCAAACAAGGCTGAAATTAAACAAAAATGGATTTCCAAAATTTCGTTTTTTTTCAAATATTTCGAAAACTAATTATGTTAGCCTTGATTTTTTAGAGTCATAATGTTCGTCTCCTGATTGCGCAACTTTGCCCCCATTTAAACTACTTCGTATGTCTTACCATTTCCGAGATCCCTGTAGTGAAAAGCGAATTTGTATCAGTGTATACTGAAGTACATTATTGTTTATATTTTTTTAGTAAAAGAAATTATTGTTCGTTATTTAACTTTTCCTATGACCATGACCACATGCACTTGAAATAACACGTGTTGAGTGCCGCTTTGTTGGAATTTTCCCTACGTCTAATAGACCTTATCAATCCTAAGGTAATACAAGGTTTAATTTTCTTTTGTTTCAGTTTATTGTCAGAGTTTCTATTGAATTTTTTATATCAGTGCTAATTGTATTTGAAAATAATGAATATGATAATGCTATATGATAATGGTCTGTGAAATATGTATTGTTAGGGGATTATTTCGACTGGGGCCGTGTTGTAAGACTTAATAGCTATTAGTGTCGTTTGTTGATCAATAACTGAGAGAGGTCTAACAGTATGTTTCATCTAATACCAATAGACCTATAATAGGTCTAATTTATTATTATAGTTATATTATTGTTTAATATAAAAATATGTGATAAATAAGCAAGTGATTTAATGAAGTGTTTAAGTAAAGTTTAACAGAATGAAGAAAATATTATATATATAAGAAGAGAAATTAATAAAGTATGTAAAAGGAAAAAGAAGCAATTACAAATAGGCCAGGTCAATAGAGCAAAAATATATCTGTCATATAGAAATCTAACAGCATACCACCTGTGCCATCATTTAAAAGACAGTCCGTAGATCTACTGTGATGTGTTTTCGACTAGCAACTCTCATTAATTAAATTCGTTATTAACATTTTAGTGCAAAAAACGCGTTTTTTAAAGTTTTTTTGCTTATAAAACCAAAACTACTAGAGCAATCTCAATTTCGTAAATAGAAAAGTTGTAGGAAATTAAATTTCGAAAAAAATGATAGGTCGAAATATTCAATCGGTTGATTAGAACCGGAGAAAATAAAAAATTCATAACTTTGTCATTTATGAAGATTAAGAGCTGAAATTTGGCACGGTAGTAGATAATTATATCAACTAAAAATGTGCAAAAGGCAGGCGCTGCCGGACTATTACTTTTTGCACAATTGCAATTTCCAATTTTTTTATAGGTATATTTTTTGCTGGGAGTCTGCTTGCGTTAATAATGGTCCGATTTTAATTCTAATACCGGTTTTCAAAACTAGAAGTAAAATACTATAATACGTATATTTCAAGTTTTCGTTAAAATGCAACATGCACTTGAATATCGGTGTAAACGTTTACAGACTAAAACGTCAAGGGCTTTATTCATGGCAATCCATGTATCTAAATTCGCAACATAGTTATGAAATAGAAACCCACCTTCGAAGGTGCCACCTGTGCCATCATTTAATAAAACCAAAACTACTAGAGCAATCTCAATTCCGCAAATGGAAAAGTGTAGGAATTTAAATTTCGAAGAAAATGAGAGGTCGAGCTATTCGATCGGTTGATTAGAATCGGAGAAAATCAAAAATTCATAACTTTGTCATTTATGAAGATTAAGAGCTGAAATTTGGCACAGAAGTAGATAATTATATCAATTTTAAATGTGCAGAAGGCAAACGCTGTCGGACCATTACTTTTTACGCAATTGCAATTTCAAATTTTTTTTTTTTTTTTTTGCCGGGAGTCTGCTTGCGTTAATAATGGTCCGATTTTAATTTTAATACCGTTTTTCAAAACTAGAAGTAAAATATTAGAATACGTATATTTCAAGTTTTCGTTAAAATGCAACGAAATGGATGAAACATGCACTTGAATGTCGGTGTAAACAGTTACAGTCTAAAACGACAACCAGGGCTTTATTGATGGCAATCCATGTATCTAAATTCCAACAAAGTTATAAAATAGAAAGCCACCTTAGAAGGTTATGTTTGAAATTTAACAATCAAGTGTTACTTTTCATATTGGCATGAGCAGATATCGCTTTTCTAATATATTCTAGTACCTAGTACCTAAACATTTTATATAAAGTTATTTCATTGGATATCAATTACTGAAACTTTTTGCACTTACCAAAGAATCCACGGTCATACTGTTCAATATCTGGAATAGTGCCTGAACAAGGAGGAATTTCTGGGTGAATTAGATCCCACCTTCTATTTGGCAACACCATATTGACCTTGTTGTATAAATTATCCCTAAATTCGTGAATATTATTGGAATTAGGGAAAACTCCGGACATACCTAAAGAATAAGATATTAAGTAAGGTAAGTATAATTAACGAAGCTGCACGGAAAACTAAAAAAATATCTTTTTAGTATAAGTAAAAGAATATTACCTGAAATAACTATCTCCTCCCCTGCTTCAACACTTGCCATTGCCTTTCCACCTTGCAAGTTATAATCTGGCCCTTCTTTGTTCTTAACGCCATCTTCTAGATTTTGCGTAACCTCCATTTTATTTAAGGATATAAATAAGTGTAAATAAAAATGAAATTATCTAGTTGAACACCTTAACTCTAAAATATATTTACTTCCGATAACTACTAATTTTTAAAATAAATATGAAATTCTATGTAAAATCTCACTGCAATAATATAAGGCTTCCCTAAACTTAGGATTACTGAGAATTTTGTACGTTAGTAGGTACTCTTTATATATGAGGAAAACGAGTATTTTAATATAATTTATGCCCGTATGATATGTGACCTCTTCATACACAGTATACCAAAAAAAGCAATAAGTTGCTAAACAAAAATCAATTTGAGGATAAACTAACAAACTAATTTGTTATTTATTTAGGTATTTACAATAGTAACCAGAGATTCATTCTAAGATTCTGCGACAGGTAAGACGTGCAAGGAACATTTTCCAAAAATTATTACATATCCCGTAGAACAATAAATATGTCGATTTTTGTAAAAACTAGATTATCCTTACAAATTTATACTCACCTTGGTATATTCAAATATACGACACTCTATTATATTTTTTAAGTAGGTACTCTCTTCATCATACTACAATTCCGTTGTTTTCTATTTGCATACTCTTTCGATTCAGTTTTAAGTAAATATATTCATTTCATGGGTAGTAGATACGTAATAAATATTTTGGGGATAATCTAGACAAATATCTTCTGAGATTGCAGTTTGAATTTTGATGTTGGAAGTTTGTTATGAAAACAAAATCTATAAACCATCTACATATCGCAGATTTAACAAAACCGTCAATTTTTTTTCTATCACGTTTCCATTTTTGTTTTTCTTTTTTACACATAAAACATTGTTTTTCACAATCTGGATCTGTTAATTTCGCTCATTTACAACTACCCTCGCACACGATTCCTTTTGGCACAAAATGACAAATTGAGAAAGCTAAGTGTGAGGTCATGTCAAAAATGAGGGGTTTATAGGGGAGCTCAAAATAGAAAAAAATTTTCCTTTCGGGCTTCGTTGTGGAGTTATGCGCCTTCAAAGAAAGAAATTTGAAAAACAAATTCCAATTATAACTTCTAAGTCGTTACTATGACAACAACTAAATTTGGGCAATTAAAGTAACTCATGATAATGTCCATTTCCAAGTTTAAATTGATATTCAATATGCCTGGATTATACAGGAGCAGACGAAATTATCCATTTAAATTTATACATATTTGACAACGTTGCCAAATTTGGCATTTTTCTTTCATAGTTCGATTCCTCTCTCACTTTCCTAAAAAAAAAGGTATACCATATATCAATCGATATCTTGTACCGTTCTTGAGAAAATCGAATTTTATTAACAACATACATGTATTAAAAATGCGATATTAACATTTTTGCAAAAATCTTGGAAATTGAGATGTACAACAAGTACTTTTGTATAATTAGCAGTTAGATATTTGTCATAAATCATTTTGACACCATTTGTTGATTCAATATCATGAAGGATTTTAGCTATGAAGAATTTGCAGATATAATAATTGAAAACTATTTAGTGGGACCACATATCATCGATGGCGCTTTAAATAGGGATAAATACCTAGGTACATTACTGCAAAAACATCTTAACCCGTTATAGCCCAGAAGAATTACATTTTGGCATGGCTGTCGCTTGACGTAGTTTAGATATTAGTACAAATCGGTCGAAAGTCGAAAATAATATAAGTATACAATGAAAATATAAGTTTGCGCCAAGAAAAAAGTTGTGCTATTTGCAGGAAAAATTAAAAACTGCAAAAATACTCAAAAATTACGTGTTTTTTCTCACATTTTCCAATATAACATTTTAAATATGCAGCTTATAGAAAAAACTAAGTATTACTGATGAAATTGTTCGTTATGAAATTTGCTATAAGATAGAATTGTTTTGATAACCACGCATATTATATTTTTGTTGCTAGATAGCCAAAACAGCGTAAGAAAGTGATGAAAATCGAGGTAATTTTGAAGCGTTCAACAGATAAGAAATTGTCCAATTCTACTATAAATGTAGATGTAAGTACTTTAAAGTATTACAAAACGAAATCCCAAAACCCGATTTGGTATGAGACAATTTGTTACTAAATTTTAGAGCGAAATGTCGTTATTTCTTTGCTTCAATGCTGGGGTCAAAGTTAGGCATTTTAATTGGTGTTAATTTTTTTACAAATACTTAACTATCATATAGAATCGTTATAATATCAATTTTCTTTTTTTATATAATTTTTGGAGCGATTTTAAAAATTCGAAAAATTTTGACTTTATAAACAAATACTTTCGTGAAGCGGGTTTTGCAGGTTGCAAAATATACAAAAATACTAAAAACCAGTTCTCAAAGTCAACGAGCATTAGCTGCAAAACTATGTAACAACAAAAATTTAATTTGGTAGATTTTTTCAAGAACTTTCCGTAGGTATGTGTTTTTATAAATATTATTGCACGTGTGCATTTTGTATGAAAATTCAATGAATATCGCCAAGCCGACCTTTTGAGCCGCAAAACCGGGGGGGAGGGGATGAATTATAGAAATTGAAACCGCGCGTTCAAAAAGAGCGCGCCCGCTTCGGCGTTCAATATCTCGGCTTCTATGGCTCTGATTTTGCTGATTTTTTTTTATCGATGAAACAAAATGAGGGGAATTCAATTATAAAGATTTCATTAAAATATTATAAAGCCTTATCGGCCTATTACGACTTCTTAAAATATCACACATTTCATTGTTGTTGTATATTCGTGTACTTAAATAATAATATCGATGGTAGATATGTTTGTGTGATGTTATCCACGGTTTATGACGTGCGGGAAATCATCTTTGGGATGGAGGAGCTCAGATCACCGAATTGCGGGCGGAAATTTATACTACACTAGAAGTGACCCGGCAAACGTTGTTTTGCCATATAAATTAATCCTAGGATTATTTTAGTAGATTTTTCATAAAGAAATTTCACTTCTACCATCTATATTATATTTAGTGTTATTCAGTGTATATCGTGTATATTTTTTTTATTAATAGTAATAGTAAATGTCATTATTACGGTTGATGCACAAACAATAATAATAATGGCCGAAAACTGTAGGGAGTGAGAAACGGCTCATTGTGTGAGAGAGATCTCATCCCTACTCCGTGCTGTTTACTGGGTCAGAAGTGACACCGGTCGACGCCTGGCGGGGATAAAAAAAATGATCAAGTGATAATTGATCAGTTATCGACCGGGGTTGAAAATTATTGAATTACTAATATCGCTATTAAAAAATAAGGGTTGATGGTAGAAGGGTGAAAATTTAGGATTGTATGTATTTTTTAAGGCCACATCATAAAAAAATAAAAAAATAAAATTTTGTCCAAAAAACAACAA